TCCACTGTTGGTGGGATTGCAAACTGGTACAGCCACTATGGAAAACTGAATGGAGTTTTCTCAAAAAATAAAATAAAAATAGAACTATCATATGACCCTGCAACCCCACTTCTGGGTATTTTTCTGAAGAAATCCAAAACACTCATTAGAAAAGATCATTGCAGCATTACTTACAATAGCCAAAATATGGAAGCAACTTAAGTGTCCATCGATAGACGATTGACTAAAGAAGAGGTGGTACAAATATGCAATGAACATTACCTGGCAATAAAAAAGAATGAAATCTTACCATTTGTGACAATATAGATGGACCTAGAGGGTATTATGCCAAGTGGAATACATCACAGAGAAAGACAAATATCGTATGATTTTACTTATATGTGGAATTTAAAAAACAAAACAAGCAAACGAAACAGCAACAAACTCATAGATATGGAGGACAAACTGATGGCTGCCAGGTGGGAGGAGGGTTGGGGTAATGAATGAAAAAAGTAAAGAGATTAAGAAGTATAAATTGGCAGCTGCAAAATAGTCACAGGGATGTAAAGTACAGCATAGGGAATATAGTCAATAATATGGGTACTAGACTTACCAGGGGAATCACTTCATAAGTGACATAAATGTCTAACCACTATGCTGTACACCTGAAACTAATATAATATTGAATGTCAACAGTAATTGAAAAAAACAAAAATTTAAACAAAAGAAACTAATGCCTCATGTCTATAATCTATGTCTTTCTGTTGCTGATCAGATTAGCTATTCTAAGCATGACGTTTTATGCTTGGACCTCAGAAAAGACATCTGCTGATGCAGAGATAACTACTGGGCCAACACAGTTGCCATTAGGATGGGACACAAAACAGTTTTGTATTCCTTAAAATATCCATATTGTTCTGTATCATATTACTATGGTGTGGGGTGAAGCTTTATCTGCTGAGTGCCTCTCTCAGCATTTTAGTCAAATGCTGTTTCCCATTGTCTGGACGGTAAATATTTCAAGCTGATGTACCCACATATAGCAGGTGAAAATGAATCCCATCTTCCCTGAGTCATTTATTCAGTCAATATTTTTGACAAACATATCACGTGGCAGCGCTTGTACTTAGCACTGGGAGTAGAAAGATCACCGGGACAGTCCTTGCCTTTGGAGAGTGTACAATTTATTTAACAAATCAAGATGGAACATTTTAAGGAGAGATTTTAGATTTTGAAATGTCAACATGTACATGTTAAGCTAATTGAAATAATTCAGAATTTATTATCTATTATTTTAAAATTCCAGGAATCTGGACTTCTTCACAAAACTTGAGATGAGGTATTTTGTATTCGCCAGAGTAACAAGTCTCAAAGGAGAATAGGGAGGTCAGACATACACTCCACAGAGGGGAGGAAGTCCCTGCAGAGTGACGCCTTCTAACCTGGCTCCCTCCCTCCCTGTGCATTTCTTTTCTTCTCTAGGTCATTTCCATCAGAGCCTGGTAGAAGCAGTGCCTATGACTATTGGTCCCTAGAGCCCTGCCTCCCCATTGAGAGGAAAGAGGAGAATGAACGCCATTATTTAGGCAATTTATGGAATGCAAGTCAATAATAAGGACAAAACAGGTTTCTATAAGTTCAATTTACAGAATTCTTAGAGGACCAATCCACCATGTTTCAGGTACTTCAATGGGTTATGCTATAAGGAACAGAAGATGGAAAGAACAAAGTCTTTGACCTCTAGGACCTCTTTGGTCAGCTTTTTTTTTGTTGCTCAGCTTTTCATTCACTTGCCCTGTGTAGACAAGGCTTTCAAAATAACTGCTAATTTGCAGTCTCAGGGGCAAGGAAGGGTGTGCCAATGGTAGGGCCTGGTTATGATTCATTTATATCTAGAGTGCCTGGTCAAAAGAAAGAAGTGAGGAAATAGTCATTGAATAAATGAATGAATGAATGAATAGATATGCTGCCAACTTGAAGATGAAAATGGGTTACTCCAAATCCTAGCATTTTTGTACTTCTTCATAGTCAGGTATTTTCTTGTTTGTTTTCTCATTGTATCCCCAAGTCAACCCAGAGTAAGGTGAGAGGGGTAATGAACCCCATCTTATTTTAGATCGACCTTTGAAGACCCAAGACCACACATTTAGCAAGCTATAGAGTAAATGACAAATCTATGTGGACCTTACCGTCCAAGGATTGCATTTCTAATAACAACAGAAAAATGGATTAGGGGCCTGACACACACAGAAGATTCCAGGGCTCTGGAGAGACTTGGTAGGTCAGAGAGAAAGTCCTACCACGTCTTTCTTTGCAGTGGGAAAGCAATTAAGAAAATTCAGCACACGAGTGGCAGCTGGAGAGTTGGCAGGTTCCTCAAGAGAAGGACTGTAAGCAATGTCATAGGCCAAGAAGATGGATGGGACCCATTTATGCACCGAGGCTGACACATAAATGGAATCCTGCCCAGTTTGACTGCCCTTTCTTCAAAGATGGCATTGACAGATGAGTATCTAAATGTTTTTGTTTAAAAAAGAAAACAAGAAAAAAGAAAGAAGAGAATAAGATAATAATAATAAAAAAGAACCCCAAAACACCAAAACAAGAAACTCTTTCTACTCTAATCTGACACATGTCGCCCAAGAACATGAGAATACCAGATCAGGTCTGGGAGCAGTGTGGGCCTTTCAAAGTAGTCCTTGATAATTACTTGCAAAGTTGTACACCTTTCCTTTCAGATAAATTTCATTTAACACAAGGATTTCATTGAAACCCCAAATTACTGCCAGTTGGCTATATCCCATCTGCGGGGGAAGGCACATTGGTGGGGGGCATGCCTGCTCACATATTCCATCTTCACCTGCCAAAACAAGGCTTCTTCCCCAATTAAAATGGCCTTTTAAAAAAATTTTAGAACAGTAAACAATGTCTACTTAATTTGAGGAAAATACACAGAAGAAAGTTACGGAACCCAATCACACAGTGACATGATGGGTGAGTCAGAGTCAGCGAAACTTGGGGGAAGTACTGAAGAGGCTGCTCGGCTTTCAGAGACAGGAGGGTCCTTCAGAGGTCATTGCCTTCACGGTGCTGCGTCCATGGCAGCCTTTGAGATCACACCAAGCTAATCTACTTTATCTTATGTCTACCAAACCCACTATAAAAAGGAAGGTTAATAATCACCAGTTTTACAAGGTAAGAACTAAATACAACTCCTCAGATAACCTGGCTTCTTTATTTTGCTCTGTCATTATCTTCTGCACACAGGGACCAGTTGACACATACTAAGGAGCAGTAAACAGGAACATGTCTCTTCCACCAAAACAAGATGGGCCAACACTGCCTGTGGTTCCTGGCCAACTGTGGAGCGCTACAGTAGATCAGCAAACCATTTGGAAAATTCTTGTTCTTCTCTAGGCTGGATACACTGTGCCCAGGCTGAGCCCACGTTTCACCCATACTCAGCCCCGAAGACATTTATTAAATTCGAGGCATCTGGAAATATTTGAGCATAGTCTGCAAACTTGGACAGAGTGGCTTGGATGGGCATAGTCATCTTAGGGTCAGCACAGAGCATCCTTTGTGATGACTGAATGAGAAACCCAAGGAAAAGGTTTGAGAAAAAAATTTCAAACAGACAGACAGCTTGGTCCCATCATGTCTTTGGCAGCTGCTGCATGTGGTACCAGCTCCAGCAAGATAACGTGCCTCCAGAGCTAGCTGGCTGGGCTGGAGGGAAGCAAGCCTGACCTCCTTTAAGCACGAATAAATCTCCCTGAGTTAAAGAATGATCCTGTCTCTTACTTTCCTCAAGGAACATGAGACACTAAGTGACACAATTTGAAGGCAGCAGCCAAAAACCCTCAGCGTCCTTATCTCCTGGCTGATTAGTTACAGGTCTGCCTCATTTAAGATGAGCTACAGGTCAGATATATATAAAACTGTCTTCCTTGCCATACCCAATAACCCAGAAATAACCAGGGCACTGTCCCCAAATCTTTCAAACCCCACTAATACAATCATGATGCATAGGCTAAGTTGGAAATAAAGTGGGCAAAACACCCCAGTGTTTCCTAGCCAAAGAACAACCACTTCAATCATGTCTGCTCTATTTGTATTCCTCCACACACACATTTGAGAAGACACAGAAGCTGATGTTCAAAGTCACTCTCCAGGACAACTTATTGACGGAGGCTGCTCCAAAACCAAATGACTCCCTTTGGCAAATCTAGCCAATATCAGGATGGTCCTTGGAAGGTCTCCCCCATCCATCAACCAGTGGATTCGACAATTATTTATCAGAAATAGACATCTGCCAGACACATTTTTAGGCTCCATTTTTTCGCAGCAGCTGTCCTCCAAAGAACGCTTGTGGCAGTTTCTGGCCCTTAGGCCAAATACCACCAGTGAAAGCCCCCAGCCAGCCACAGACATCATACTGACACTCGTGAGATGGAGAGAGATGGGAAAAGCCAGAAACAGGGTGTTTTTGTTTTTTTTTTACAATTCAAGGCTCAATTGTAAAATATGTTGGCTTTCTCCTTGTCCTAAACTGGCACCTGCAGATACATTTAAGTCTAATTCCTCAGGGGGATTAGGGTGATGAAAATCTCAGGTTCTCTGGAGAAGGGAACATTGCAGCTTGAGCTTGCCTAAAACAAACCCACAGTTTCCTAGTAGAGCCACCGTTATTGTAGTCATGTGGAAACGGGAGGCGGCGCTTACTTTAAAGGCGCATGCTACCTGCTGTCGAGAAAGAAATACTCCTCTGCACACACCAACAATTTCTTCCTGGCTCACAGTTGAAGAATAAAAGTCCTGGGAAAAATGTCTGTTTTCACATCAAATACAACCAGCTGTTGGAGCCTGGGATTGGAGGAGATGACACCAAGCTGAGGAGGGAGTAACTAAGTTGTTTTTTCCTTCCAAAACCAACTTCCCGGGACACAAAAGTAGTTGACTGGCCAGATAAGCGGATGCTATGCTTACTTTATATTCATTGATTGAAATCCATTGTTTACCTGCTACCACGGGAGATTTCCGTTCATCCAGGAGCTGGATGGAGGTACTTGCTGTCACCACATTGCTTTTGTTGACTGTTCCTGTAAGAAGAAAAACGAAAAATGGACATAGTTACAGTGCACATGTTCAGAGAGCAGTTGTACTGGCTCACAGTCACCAATTCTCCACATGGGGTCGAGGCTCATCTCCCAGATCTGAGCTGGCCTACTCGGTGAAGACACAGGTGCTGGCTAGCCCGTCTGCTCAGGTGAAAGAAGTAATGAACCAAGTTATGACCACCTACACTGGGAAACGTCCAGCCTGTTCTCATCAAAATTATTGACCAGCATAGCCGGACCACATTTTTTTCTAATTTGTGGTTACCAATTGCAGTGTTTACTTGTGTCGGAAATCATATTTATATTGCCTTTCTAAATATAGCCATGGAGAGCTACACGAGAAAAAAGTTTTGAAACTATTTTACAATGAGTTGAAAACTTTAGCTCTGATTTGTTGGTTAAAACCTTACTGACTTATAAAATTCTAAGCCCCGGCCAGTTTTTCTTAGCGAAATCATTCTGAACAGGGATAGAGCTGGAATGCAATCCTTACTCCAAACTCTTATTAATGTGGTAACAATATGGCATTAATATTAAGAGATTTTCAATTACTAACAATGGTTCCAATAGCCATGAATTAAAAGACGCTGAGCACAAATTCCTAATGCCCATAGTTAATCATTGTTAGCCCAGTGCCTAACCTTATAAAAGGTGATCAATGAATGTAAGTTACATGGAATCAATTGAATTGAGAAGCAGGGAGAAGGCAGACCTGAATTTGAATACTTATGACCAAACCAATTAAGAATTTCCTCCTGGCCCAAGTCTAAGCAGTAATGAAAACCAGCTTGTTTTCCAGTGTGTACAGGTATTCAACACACAGTAGAAAAAAGGAGAGAGCTCCACCACAACACTTGTACTTGGTGAGTTTTAACATTTTTCCCTGAATCTAAACGGGCCAAGAAATCTCTTAAGATATTATGTCATCCATAACTTTACCATGAAAAAGGTCAATTCCTTTTCATTATATGATTTCACTGAAAGTTCAGTGAACACTCTACTTGCCAAAAACTAATTAGACAACAGCCTTAATTAATCAAAATTTGTATCTTCCAGACATAATTCTTTGTAGGGAAAACCGTGAATAACAAAACAAACCGACATGAAGGCCATCACATATGTACACACACACACACACACACACACACACCACACAGAATCTTTGGAGGATGCTCGCATATCCCATAGCAACTTCTCCCTGTCCAGTTTTAGGCACAAAAAGATAACTTAATGATTCCCATCCAGATCTAACAAACTAGGCTCTATTTTTTTCTTGAGAGGACTATGAAAAAGAAAGCACCATGAGATTGCATGATAAAAGAAGACATTATTATTGATAGGTTTGCAGCAGAATGAGAAAGTCCATTGTCTTAGTTGATATTTTCAGCAATAAACTGTGATAAACATAATAAAAAGAAAGATTTCTGGCCACCTGGAAATTTATGTTTGAGAACCCACACGTATGCGTGCAGGTACACATAAGCCTGTCAACAAAGGAACACTGACTCAAGAATCTCAGTCCTAAAAGGATCTTAATTGATAACCTTGTCAAAAATCCTACCTAGCAAGAGAATTTCCACAATAACATTCGTCTTTTCTTGAATACCTTCATTAATGAGGGGCCCTCTTCTTAATGAGTCCATTCAACTAATTATTAGACAACCCTTGTCAACACGTCTTGTGCAGGTTTCGAAAGCACTTTTTATGAAGGTGTTTTCATTCGTGGAAATGAGCAAGTGCCAAGACTCCGAGAGCAGGTTTGACACTAAGCACTAGAGAACCTCCATGAGGGTTGACTTCGGAATGCTTGTAGGAGGTTAATACCAAAAGCTCTGATAGAAAACATAAGTAGAGACTGAACTGTCCAGAGCATTCCAGTTTTACAGAATTAGGTTTTATTGCTCTCAGAAGTGTCTACAGTCACAGTACACAGCCATACACAGAATGAACACCAACAATTTGGATGCATGAGACGAGAGAAAGCCAAGGACAATTAAAGAAGCATTTCTAGTTTGACTTGCTTCTCAAACGGATTGAAATAAAACAGTATGCAGTTATTGTTTGGAAGGAGATGATCTTATTTGTTTTTTATAATATCATAAAATCTTAGGACTGGAAAAATTATTGGCTGCATGCTTCCCATGGGTCTCTGCAGCCTTTTATCAGGACAGCACAGGGCTATCCAAACCCTTAGTCCTTGCTCCTGCATATTGAGTTTTAAAGCAGTTCAGTTCTGATGCAGAATTGGGGGCCTCCAACGTGATGTGATTTGCTGAAGGGTCTGCCATAGGATGTAGGCCTGCCTGAACTTTCTCTAAGGAGGGTCATGGCAACATTAAAATAAAAATAATCTGAGAAGTTTGTATTCAAATTCCACATGGTACAAAATGAACAGTCCTGCTCTCTGAAATGCTCTTTGCACAATCTGGTTAAGCAAAATCTTCATTCTATTGGGGGAGTTACACGTATGCACTAGGTCACTGGTACAGCCCTGGGCCGATATTCAGTACTGGCTCCCAAGGCTGAATGTGGCTCTCCTTAGCCTTCAGGCAGCTCCCCCACACTCTGCACGTGATGCCCAGGCCAGCAGGACCAGACAGGCAGCCGTGCCTCCAACAAGGATACCCACCTGTGCTGAAAGGGATCGAGTAGACGAAGCTCCCTGGAATCTGCTCAGCGGCTCTTCGGTACCAGAGGGGAAAATGGTCCGCGTTAAAAATGTTCTCCTTGTCTCCAGCTTTCAGGAAGTCCCTTGAAATGCACAGGAATAAGAGCATGGCGCCAATCAGCAAGGAAAAGATGGACACGGGTGCATCGCAACAGCCTTTGTTGGATAAAAACAGTGTTGGCCTTTACAGCAAGCAAGCAAACAAACAAACGAACAAAGCCTCCGAAAATCATATTAGAAGACCAAAGGGTGGTCAGAAAGCTTTGTCTTGCCTTAAAATCCACACATGGACACCCATTCTTGGAAGTGTAAAATCTTAAGTCGATTTTACTCTTCTTAGATAAGGTGTAAAGGAGGTACATGGGTTCATATGGGGATCTTTGCCCCTTCTTCCCTTCTCTCTCCTCTCCAGCCAAACAGGATGCTCTTGGTTCCCTCGGTAAATCCCTCACCATCCTCTGCCTCCCTGCCTACTGCCCACAGTGATTCTCTCTACCCAGAGAGCTGTGTGCACTCCCCTTCCCTATTTGTTCCTGTCAAAATCACATGAATTTCAAGGTGTACCTCAAATAGCACCCCCCGTATGAATCCACAGACACATGCCAGTTCTTGGTCCACACTGGGGCCCCACAGCCTCAGTCCCTGTCACACAGCCCTCTTTTTCCTTGTCCTTATCTGCACACTTGTCAGGCCCCCATCCCAAGCCTCCCAAGATCGTTGAGGAAAGGAGGTTGTGTTTGCAGTTTTGCTTTTCCACAGAACCTTAAACCTACTGAAGCCCCAATAAGTGTCTGATTTATCTCCCAGGTCATGTTTACTCCTCAGTCTGAACCCTTTGTCTTGGCTGATATGGTACAACACAGGGTTGAAAGTGACTGTCTGGTTAGTCCACACTCTGCAGAGATCTTTTAGGAAGGGAGCTCAATCAGGGGACAATGTGTATGTAGGGAAAAGGCCACTAATTGAACCAGAAATGACGCCATTTTCAATCCAGCAGTTTGTAGCATGGAATTGGTTCATACAGACCATGGAGAGAAATACTCAGATATTCTACATTGTTTCACCATGGTTGAATTTATATGCTAAATTAAACTGGTTGGTTATTAGAAACTACTTGAACTTGGCATCTAGCTCAGGAAAGCATTCTGTAGTTTTAGGGAATGGTCAACCAGTGATCCCTTGATATCTTCCAAAGATGCAGGGCTCACTCCTCTGAGAGGAAGCCCATGCCATCAGAGGCCACCCACAAAATCTTAGCACTGAAATCTGCCTTCCCGTAACTTGCACCAGCGTCCTAAGTACACTCCAAGGGCAGAGACCTTATTTTCCTTGAAATTCCTGGGGCCTAGCACTCATTGGGCACCCAGTGTATGCTTAATGATCACAGAATAAATCAAACCTCATATCCAGATAAGAGCTCCTCACATATGAAAGACACTTGGCCGTGTCTTTTCTAAACAGTATTTCTCAGTTCTTTCAGACTCCCTCCTCAGGACGGCCGCCAGCCTGTGTAAAGGCTCTACTCTGTTAACATCCCATGACAACTTGTGCTACTGCACCTGGGCGTAGCACACCAAAAATGGTCTGGTCTTGCTGCCTACATTTATTTACTGACTCTCACCAATAGGATGATGCTCCAGAAATTAAAATCTTATTTTGTTTTGAAGTTGGCACAAGCACTCTGCTCTCACTCAGAAAACCAACTTGGGAGCCATGGACAAGACTGAGGCGGTGCAGGCATCCCCGCGCGGCTCTAAATGCTGCACATAGGGGGTTCCAGGATGGATGGCACGGACCAGCTCCCCCTGACCCTGCTGTATTCAGTGGTAATGTTTCCTGATCCTAAAATCATCAGGTTTCACATGTACTGAAATGTGAGCTTTTTCATTTTTTCTTTAGGCCTGCAATTCTTCGTAAACCTGATTTGGACAGGTGTGTGTAGGAGACCGTTGCCTAGTTGTAGGTGGGATGAACAGCTGCCTTCCACACTCCACCGTGGGCACAGACATGACATTGTCACTTGTGTCACTTCTGCTCAATGATGAGATGTATATAAGCTTATGGAGGAGGTGACTTCATGCAGCAGTTAACGGTGCATTAAAGGGCCCTTTTCCAGGCACGGTAGGTGGGATGATACCTTGGTGAGGCGGTATGAGGTGGTGCTGACTTAGACTGATGGAGGCACTCATGCTTTGGGGATGACAGGAAATAGGTCTGGAACACTGCATGTCTGGCTGGCTAGTGCCTGCTGGCTCGAACCAGACCGGGCTGGCACCCAGGGCAGCAAGCAGGAGCCCGTAGAGCGTGATCTCTATTAGCTCTGTATTAATGCGAATGGGTCCAGTTGCCAGGAAACCTTGGTGGTCGGTCCCTGACAACTACCAAGCAGTTATTCAGAAGGAACCAGGAAAAAGAGAACTGATTCTACAGAATCTCTGAAAATGTTCTTCAGGAAAAGAGATACTCTGGGTAAGATGAGAGCCTTCTTCTGTGTACTAGAGACTGCTCTGGTGTTGTATAAGACAGGTCTAGGTTTCAGGTAGAGCTCAATGACCTTGGGTGAGTTACTGGGGTCAGTTACTGAGTCTCACCTAAAGAGAATAATCATATCACACTTACCAGGATATTATCAGAATTATATAGCACCATATGTAAAGGGCTATGTAAAATGAACATGGCTCGAACAAACATATGGGAATCTTAAAGCCCAGCTGTTGCTTTCATTCTGTGTTTCAAATGGAAGCTGTGAAGTACTCATCTCTTAAACTTAGGACAGCACTGGATGCTATGTGTGTGACATGTGATCCAAGAGGGCACACTGAAGGCTCGGCATATATTACTATTGGGGATGATGACAGGTTACAGAGGCCATGAACTACAGTGGAAATATTTCCAACAGCAGGTGGTGGGGATAGGAGATGGAATCCCAGTACAGGAGGCTGATGATAGTACAAGCTAGCTCGGGGTGGGAACCTGTATTACCTAGTACTCCCCCCAACATTTTGAACTCTTCTTTGTATGCCTTCTTAAAAAAAAAAAGGAAAAGAAGGAAAGAAATCATAAAAGCTTTCTAACCATGACTAAGTAGAATATATCCAATAGTTGGGTCTCCATAAATACCATTTGATTGGAGGGGGTAGATGTCTAAGACCCTAAGACAACAGAACTCAAGGTGCCTCTATATGAATCAGTGATATATGTTTCTTGAAGACAAACAAAATATTTCATCCATCCAGGTACCTAGTGTGTACTCAGTCTTACTCACTGTAATATCAGAGAATAGAACTCATGGTTGTAGATATTTCTAGCTTCCCAAAGCAGTCAGCTATAAATTCTTTGATCCTCACAATAATGCGGGGAAATCATTACCCCATTTTTAAGATGCACAGAGTGAAGCCAATGAGAGAAAAGCCAGGTGCACAGTCCAGCAGTCCCGAGTGTGGTCCTGTCATCTTTCAACTGTCACAATAACACAGATATCGGACTAGCAAAGTGCTATGTTTCGTGGTGGTTATTGTCTTTCTTGCTTGTTTGTTTGGCTTAATTTCAAAACAAACTACAGCCTTTCTCTTGGAGCATCAGACGGTCTATCGGCGTCTCCCTTTGCCTCTCTGGATCTGATAGGGAGAAGACAGTGCGTGTCTCGACCTTTCTGTTCCTTCCTAGGAACTTGCCCTTGGGAAAAGTAACTGTCTGAAGGTAAAGGGTGAAAGAGGGCTTGAAAAAAATCAAGTCACAACTATAGCCAACTTCCTAAAGGACAAATTTGAGATGCTGAGAAAGAGAGTCCTTGAATAAGAATTAAAGCCAGTCCACAAAAGATCTAAAAATCTACTGACCTGACATATACCAGGCTTGGTTTTATGAGATCATATGGTGGTGTCAGGCCCTTATCCAACAGGGGCGAGAGCCCTGCTGAGCTGGGCTTGATGAAAGGGAGCATATCCTGGTAGGCCCCTGCTGGGCCCATCCCTCTCAAACTGGCAGCCACCCTCTGGCTTGGTTATTCACAGCCAGGTACCCCAAAGGCCAAAGTACATGAGGTTCTCTGGGAACCTCTGAAGAGCCCCCTCATACACTTTACAAACTTTCTGAATCTCTGACTTCATTTGTTTCTGGCCTAATAAAGTCTCTTACTTCAGAAAAAGGAAATTGAGAAAACTTATTAATGGGCTCAGAAAAGACTCCCCAGATTCACACCAGCTCTGGACAAACAAAAATTTAAAGAGTGAAGGCCCCGTGGCTCTCTGAAGTCCCAGGGGCTGAGCAGTGGTTGAAAGGGCAGGCATCTGGGTACTGGACTCGGTGACTAGGCTCTGCCCACTGTCCATCTGTGTCTCTTTGGAAGCACAAAGAAGCATTGTCAAACCCACATGACACCAGACTGCCCACTCCTGGCTGTGGGGCTCTGCAGGCACAGAGATTTATCAAAACATACACAAACAAATAAACAACAGACTTGAAACACTGGTTCTTGGACAAGCAGGAATTCCTCAGCAGAGCTGCACAACAGCTGAACTCCCTGAAGCCATTTGTGGGGGGATGTGCTGTCCCCCTCCTGGCAGCTCCCCCAGCAACCACACCATCTCCAGAGTTCTGAAATGACGTACTCGGGTGGTAGAGGACTCTAGGACAGTGGCCAGAAGCCAGCAAGCCTGAGGAACAAAGGATTGTGGAAGGGCCAATGGGCAGGTGAACACACACACTAGGGCCCCCGTGGTAGAACAGAGAGGAAAGTGTCACCAGGCCTGGGGTGGCCTGAATTTTGTTTCTGCCAGTGGTGGAAGGAATAAAGAGGTAAAATAAGCTTTCCTTTGAACCTCCCCTCTCAGGGTCTCACTGGGCCCCACAGAGAACCCTCCTACTTACTGATTGGTGAGCTGCTCAGCCCCAACAAACAGGTTGATTCTCGAGAGGCCTGTGCGAGTGCCGAGGAAGGCAACCTCCACACCCTTGTCGGAATTCCTGAAACAGAGCAGCAAGCATCAAGGGGATTCTTCCAGACAGTAAGCAGATAATGGCTTTTGCATTTTAAGACTCATGGAATGTTTTACAAAATAGCAGTTTTGCAATCTGAAAATTTAAAAGAAATTATAGAAACACACACACACACACACACAAGCAGAGAATACAAACTCTTGTCACTTACAAAAGTTTTCATCATCATTCTTGCAAGAAAAATTAAGAACTCCATGACAACAAAAGCACCATGAGAAAATGCACCCCCAATGCTAAATAAACACACCTTTATCTCAAGTTTCTGGGTACAAATTCAGAGAGCAGGCTGAGAATGGGAATGGCTTTAAGGAGAGGAAGAAAATCCTTACAGCTGGCCTAGCTTTCTGCACTGATGCTACAAAGTCTATGCTTGGTCCTGAGACCATTTGTGGAATCTGTCATTAGTGAAAACAAGCAACTGAACCACTTGATCAAGTGTGCAGCATCCCACAGCCTGGAAATGTCTAGGAGTTGAATTCTGTACCATTTGGGGGGGTACCAACTTGTAACTTTGATCAAAGCATAGGCCTTATCCTCACCAACCCCAGAGACATGAGTAAAGAAATAGCTTCTTCAGACAGGCCGGCAGAATGCCAGGCATAGAAACCCTGAGGATTGTCTGAGCAAAGAAAAGTCATTTCAAGACTCATTGAAGATGTTTTTTTCAACTTTCAAGGCAAATTTTGTATTTTTGAGCGTGTTCGTCAGGATATTCACAATGCATACATCTTTAAAAAAAAGGAAGTGGTCTTTCTCCACAAATACGTAATTTATTCTACAAGTAGGGAGAGCATACTGATTCTCAAGTTTGCCTCCTTGCCCTAGATGCTAAGAGCAATTTGATTCGAAGCGTTATCCATGTCATCTGCAATGCAAGATTCTCTGGTTACTTGATCTTTGATGGTAGTCAAAGTGGTCAATACTACCTGTAAGGATTTAAGGGGTGAATAAAAACCAACACTATGCATTTGTTTCTGCTTGTAGCCTACACCACATTGGAAAGCCAAGCTGCCCAATCAGTTACAGATGTGGACTACAAAGCAAGCTACCATTTTGGAAATCTATAGCATGTGTTAGGAGTGAATCAGCAATCTTTGTACAGGATTTTGAGTTTCACAGGAGCCTGAAAGAAACATTTCTATACCCACTAGAGATTGCAATCACAGGAAAGGCTTTGACTCTTTCCCACCAGCCCAGGGAATAAGACCCATGTAGGTAAATGGTCCAAACACACTCCAAATATAATGAGACTGGCAGTCTGTCTTTGGGGCTTCAGGCTCATGTATTAAACTACCTATCTTACATCTCCATCTGGGAGGCTTATAGTCACTTTTAGCTTGACATGTTCTGGAAAGGAACTTTGGCCATGTCCGGTCCCAAACTTGCTCTTCTTTCACTGCCTCCTGTCCTAGAATATGGTACCATTCTCAACCCAGTTATTCATATCCTAAACCTAAGAATGATCCTTGACAGTTCAGCCACCCTCTCCTCACACAGCAAACCCATCATCAAGTCTGGAGTCTTCCTTCAGAGGCATGCCACAAGTGCATCTCCTCTCTGTGTCCACTGCCGCAGCCCTGTTTAAGGGGCACATCCCTGGGAATGCTGTGTAGGGGCCTTTACTACTGTTCTTATGTCATTACATTCTATTCTCCACAAAGCAGTAGAAGGATCTTCTAACAATACAAAACTAATCATGGCCTTCTTAAAATCCTTCAATGATTTTCTGATACTCAGAGGATAAAATCCAAAATCTTTAACTTGACTCCCCTGCAGTCTCATCTCCTGGTAATCTTGCCCCCTACCCTCTATATTTCAGCTCTGTTGGCCTTCTTTAAATTTCTCAAATGTGTCAAATCCTTTCTCAACTCAGGGCCTTTGCACCTTCTGCTCCATTTCCCTGGAATTTCCCCAACCCTTAAGCTAGTTCCTGCTCAGAAAAACCTTCCCTGTCTTCCATCTCCTCTCTAGGTCTTGTTACAATCTGCATGTCTTTACTTTTCCTTCAAAGTCGTTATCACAATTCTTAATAGCATAGCACACTATCTACCACAGGTATCATGATGGCAAGAATTATGTTGAATTGAGTTACCTTCATTTCACCCACACCTAGCCCAGTGGCTGGCACATAACAAACATGCAATCGATATTTGATGAGTGAATGACTGAACGGAAATAAGAACACAATGAATAATAGATAAGACAGAAGAGAATATACAGTAGGGAAGATAGAAGAAGGAAATAAACTAATAAAGAGCAGAAAAAGAGAGCGAGAACTGAATAATGTATGATGTGAAGGTACCTGAAATTATTTTTCTTCTCAGTTTGAATCTAACAATAACACAATAATACTAAGAAGCTGCTGAAGCAGTTCTCACCCCAGTCTTTGACAACAGCTACGCTTGCCCACTCCCCTCCCCCAACATCCTCCACTTCAGAAATAAAACCACAGGGTTATATCTGACACCCTAATGAAACAGAGCTCTCACTTCCCTGTCCTTCTCCCAACCTAATCTGGCCCAGGTCCCAAGTTCCCTCCAGACTGTGAAGGAGAGGGCGCCATGGCAGGGCAGGAAGCGAAACGTTCCTTCCGCCTCCCTCTCTCTCGGAAGTGTCACCCTACCTCAGCATACCGAATTTCATGTAATGTTAAAACTCAAACAAATTATATGTCAAACCCAGTAGCTTGCCATCCAAACCCAAGCTGCTAATCTGCTCTAGCTCTTGTGGTTTGGAGCTTTGGGGAAAATTAAAGAACTTTAACACCAGGCTCCTAAAACAGTTTAGTTCTTTAAACTATAACCATATTTTGGACTGTTTGTGGGGAAATGGCCATGAAAGGGGGACACGTGCAACCACTTACTCAGATTTGTTGAGGGCAAGGCTGGTCCAATAGGCTTCAATGGGAGCGCTCACCACGGAGTCGAAGAGGACTTCTTGTATCAGTTCTTTATCACCTGTTGGGAGGGACAGGCTTGAGAAGATGGCTTTGGCTGGGCCCCAAACAGGGGCACACGAGGTGCTCCCTGGGCTCCTTTTGCAGTGTCTGCAGGCTACTTTCTCACTCAGGGCATAGCTTTAGGCATAAACCTCCCACCAGCCAAAAATCTGAAACAGTTCTGACACTTGACATGGCAGCAGTACAGAAGCCCCCAAAGCGTGTGGATGATAGTAAGTGGCGAGTCTTGGGTATCTCACACTTTGCTTTTCTGCTTTCTTTCCTCATCTAGTAGTTCATGCCATAGACGTCTTGCCAACTCTGGGATTCGGAGACCAAAAGGCAGCAGTCCTCAGAAAGTTGGCTCTTCGCACCCCCATTTCTGTCCTCTGTCAGAATCTGTGATGCTTCGGGGCCCTGATTTCATCGGTTGCAAGAAGGGTAAGAGATATAATTGTATAGCTCCTGGGACTCTTATTTTGTGATTCTGCCCATTTAAGATTTTTTTTTTCATTTTAGCTGGGGGGAATAAGTCCCTGTGGAAAGGGGCTCTGTGGAGATCTGTGGAAGAGGCTAAGGAATCAGGGGATATCATGAGTCTAGCAGAGGCATCCTAGAGCTCCCCCATCACCCCACAAAGAGGGAAGTTCATTATCACACACAGCAGGTTAGTCCTCTTCTAGGCCAGGGCCCAAGAAGATAGTGGGGCTCTGTTATACAAGTAAACACTGAAAACAGCTCATCACCCAAAAGGCAATGAATAAACTGATATGAATATATATATATATATGATACAAAACAATGAAAATAATAGTATATATTGTTTATGGGTGCCTATGTGTATAGTGATAATATAAAATGTATGGGTATGATGAACAAATACAGGATGGTCATTCTCTGGGAGGAAAACAGGACCGGGCAGGGGCACTCAGGGACTTCAACATTATCTGTCACGTTTCCTTCCTTAATAAGCACCTGCAGCAAGTATGGCAAAATATTAAGGCTTGATAAAGCTTGGGTGGTAAATATAAATGCTTTTTAAATATTCTCTCTATACTTTTGTTTTCTAAATATGTCCTTAAAAAGGTCAAAGAAAATTTAAAAATTGGGCTTATAAGATATCCATCTAATCTTTCCTCTACCAGAGCATATCCTGAAAAGTGGATCAACTCCATGAAGATGTGGTTTTGGGGCTGGATTACCTCCTCCTCCCTCTCACAGGGCTGCTGTAGTTATTCTAGAAGACAACATGTAGAGAACACTTCACATCACCTAATAAGTGGTATCTCTGAGGGCTACGGGCAGGTGCCATGCTCCTCTTTGGTGAGTCTCTCCCTGCCCAGTCTGTAGCTACTGCTGCTCATTATGCCAGCGCAGGGTCTGACCTTGCACTTGGTAAGTGTCAGGCCTGATGCTGCTCTCTCTGCCCCTCTGCAGCAGCCACCAGACATTTCTGACTCATTGAGTTCCCTCAGAGGGCATCTGGTGGGGGGAGAGCAGCAGGTCATACCCCACAAAAGGCAATGGGTCACAGTGGTGGTCCCACTCTGGAGAGAAGCAAGAGACCTGGATTATGGTCTCAAATGAGACAAGTCCTCCTCCCAGCCCCCATTTAGCATTTGTGAAATAAGGGAGCTGGATGAGCAGATATTTACCATCCCGTCCCAGGTGTATCCTTTTCATCCTATTCAGGTGTTAGACTAAATGGTTCAGTAGGGGGACAAATCCAATGTAAAGGTTTAAACAAGGACCGGGTATTCTGCATGATTTTCTTTCTCCTATTTCTTTCTCCTATTTCTTTCTCCTATTCTTTCTTTCTTTCTCCTATTCCTCCAGGGAGCAGACATTTGGCTGGATTTACTGTGATGGATAGTCTCTGCCAAAGCAAAGCTTCCCTTGACAACTGAGGCAAAGGATGGCTTTGAGTCTTCCCCTCCCCCCCGCCCAACACATGCACACAATGCCCAGTTGGAAGCACACTCACATTGGAGCAGAGGTTCTCTGCCTTTAAGGTACAGCTTAATAGCTTCTAACTGAGACAGATGACGGTGCTCTGGGTGTAGGTCAGTGTTGCAGTAGGACCTGAGAACATGACACAGCCCAAAACAAGAGCATGTAAATATTTACAGCATCATCTTCCAACTTGAAATCAAAGAGGGCACCAAATGCCAGTGCTGAGGGTTACTTAATTCTTACCATTCATCTGCCAAGGACACATCAGGGTGTTCTAAGTCATGCAGGCCTGGAGGTCAAGGAGAAGACGTTCATGAGTAAGTGCCACGTGTGGGGAATAGACCCCACCCCATCCATCCTCTCGCATGCTTCAAATGTTCTATGGCAGAGCCATGGGGTGGTTAAGGGTAGACATCATCCCCAAAGATATCTGCCTGAGAAAAGGGACTCTGCACAAAGAAAACAAGTTCTCTTCCCAGGCAGAACAGTCTCCCCGGCTTCCACCTCACCCAGCCCCCACTGCCACCTTTCCTGGCCGTGGATCCCAGGAAAGCCTTAACTCCCTGTAGAGAGATGATACAGCAGCAAGTCATGGGGGAGAAACCTAGCATGATGGTGGGAACACTGACGTTGGAGCCCCGTGTAGCTCAAGTTAGGAACGGGGCAGGTTCCTTTACTTTTTTACATTATCAGTCTCTCCATGTGAAAAGCAGGAATAATAATTATAATAACTGACATGTGGTTGTGAGGGTAAAATTATAGTTTGAGTGATATGAAATTGCTAATACTCAATTGTTTTGACCAGCAAAAATTGCTAGTTGTCACAGAATCCTAAGCAAAAACACATCATCAGTCTGGAAAGGTGGCTAGGAGAACAGGGGCCATCAGGGAATTTGAGAGTTTTTATAGACTGCCCGAGACCACCCCAACTCTGTGAAATCATTCTCTTTTCTTGTGTCTTCATGTGACTTCATTTCAATGGGCCATCAGCAGACTTACACTTCTGAGTGATGACCTCAGGGACTCCAGTGATGTTTAGAGCCTGTTTTAGGATGTCAGGGTTTTCAAATGACCAAAAATATCTCACTGTGTTCAGGATTCTAGTTTCCTCCTCAAATACAAATGTATGAAATATAGCAAAATAACAGACCTAGCATCACACACTCATGCTGGGTGTCACAGGAAGTAGGGGATAAATTAGATAGAATATCATCATATATTATCCAAGTGGCCATATCCTGGCTCCAACACGTGCTGGTTGAATAATCTTGAGAATGTCTCTTCAACTCTGAGTTATATCCACCAGGAGATGTAGGTAGTAATGCCTAACTCATAGATTCCATAAAAGCATTAAATGGGGTAGTGATTAGTCCCTAGGACATCCCATGCATCCATCAGTCCCCTTTCCTTTTCCTCCCTCCCCCTTCATTTTATATATTTACTGAGCATCAACTTAGTACTATTGTGCACAGTACTATCCTAGGCCCTGAGAATATAGCACTGAATCAAATAAAAATCATTTCCCTCACAGCATTTGCTGTTTAGTGGCAGAAAAGAGATCTAAGTAAATAAAATTAAAATATATAACTTAGCAGTTAGTGACAAGGGCTATGAAGGAAAAGAGAGAATCGAACAAGGATAGGGAATGCCAAGAGATGGGAAGGGTTGAGAAAGACAGTTTCAATATTAACCATGGAAGTCAGGGAAGGCTTCACTGAGAAAGTGACTTTTAAGCAAAACCCTGGAGGTGAGGGAGACAGCCATGGAAATAACTGGGGAAAGTGCTCTTGGCAGATGGACTTGCAAAGGCTTTCACGCGCGATCTTACTTTCCTGGAATACTGGGTTAATGATGTCAATTTTATTGATTTTTCTAGTTTCTGTTTTCATTAACTGTCATCCGCAAAGCCTTCTCTAGCTCTATTTCATAGGACCTATAGATGACACCCTGAAAGAAAGATCTTTTTGATGGCTCCCTCCCTGAGTTCCTAGGGCACCAAAGGCATTTAATTGTTCCCTACTTCTCTCACCTCTTGTTTTGGGCCTCCTAACAAAATCACATCTACTGATGATTGACAACACAGACAAAGATGACATAAGCTCCAATTTATTGCACAATTACTGTATACTACATATAAAAGATGCAGATAAAGTGTCAAGGAGCTTCAGAAGAGGAGTGATTTCAGCAGGTACAACTAGAGCCCATGCTTTCAACCTCAGTAGCGACTCCTTACACTCTGAGCAAAATCTACCTGTTCACCATCTTTGTAATATCTGGCATTGGCAAAGCATTTTGAAAATGCCTACATTCTGTGGGGCAGCATTCCTTATGGAAGGTCCTACAGAAGCGTGGTTGCCATCCCCAAGGTACTCCTTCCTTCTCCAAGAACGGAACAGAACAATCATGCCTTGGCTCTTGCCGATGACAAGACGCTCTCCTACTTAGCCCAAGGGGAAGCAGCTTTCTCCGGCTCTGTTACTCAGCAAAGTTGGCAGGATTAGAAGTCTTCTTATTTATAGAGGACCAACAGAGAGAGGAAGATCTGACCTCATTTGTGTGGATAACCAGACACTCTCCCCCTTGCTGAGAATTCATACTAATTTCTTGCATGGTGGTTTATGGTTAGCTCTGAAATTCTCTCTATATGACCTCTCAGCCTGACAGCTGTGGAACATACAGGGAGAAGATAGTGACTAAAGAAGTGATGCAAAAGAGACAATGAAAACAACTTGCAGGCCCATGCGTTGAGGATTGACTAAGGGAATGGACACGAGAGGTAAATAATCCATTAATTATCTGTCCTCTTATTGTTCTGACCATGGGCTATTTCCTCAGCTGACCTCAGATGGCTTAGACATAAATATTCTGGCTTCCTAGGCAGTGACATCCAGAGCTACACATGGTTCATAGAGCCAGAAAGTTCTAGGATTAAAAATAAAATTAAATACTCAAAACATCCTGTTGAGTATCTTGCCCAAGTCACAAAGTTGCCTGTTTTCTCTTGCATGCCTCTGGGAAGAGGGGCCACACAAGTGATTAGCAGCGGGCACACTCTGGGTTCTTTCCAGGCCACAATAACCCCCTTCCGTCCCCTGCCTACTCCTTAAGATCACACAGTCACTTGGCAAACAAAAGCCAACCCCTGTGAAACAACGCATGGAGAGTCAGCCGTAAACCAGAAGGCTATCTATGGACCTTGGCACCTCAGGGACAACCGATCTCACTCTTCATTCTCTGCTACATCCGAGCCACAAGGTGGTCTGGCTTCTGGAAGCTCCCGTTCATTTATAACTTGCTCCAACCAATTCAAACCTGGCTTGTAACTGACCTCCCTGCTCTTGGCTGTATTCCGTGGGGACACCCCGAAAGAACACGGGTCTGGTACAACTCCTTCTCTGTGGAGATCTAAAATGTAACACCCAGACTGGGCAAGGGATGTACTTAAGGTCACTTGGTTGAAAAGCCCTTCAGAGGCCAGCCCCATCCCTCCCTGTGAGCTGGTGATATTGAGATAGCTAACTTCTTTGAGCTACTGGTTAGTTGGGAGATAAAAAGGACAGTAAAGGGTATGACAGCAATTTTCAAGTTTAAAGAGCTGTACCAATTGCTACCATTTACTGGGAGTTCACGATGCACTGATGCACTTGAAGACAAGAGGATCTGAGATTAGCAAGGTGCTATGTACCCCTCTGACCTATGTCAATCATTTGAATGATCCTGTTTCCCTTGGGACACTGGCTGCCATGAAACACAAGTGAAATTTGTGGCTCAGTTGTGGAGGAGACAAAGCCTTGCCTATTTTTGTTTTCTTTTTTTTTTTTCCCTTTGGCTTGAGGTTTTACATGAATTTGTATTTCTCCTGGTACTGATTTTTATGGATGAAAAGAATATAGTTACTGGATGATGCCTATGAGTGGACTCAACAACTCTGTGGATTAAAGCAGAATATAAATAAATGAAATCACAGGGAAGTCCACCACCTGTTGGGGTTCCCACCATTCTGAATCAGTCTAGGAAAATGAGGTAGCATCGTGTGGGCAATTAGTTGAGCCACATGCCCAGGGATTGGTCAGAGGGCCGGGCAGATGGGGAAGTTCTTCATTTAACCCAGTGGTGGGCTCAGGGGCTTTTTCCCCCACACTAAACAATAAGGCTGATCAAGGCAGCGTCTTACCTTCTTCAATGGTTACATTCCCTCGGAAGAAATATTTCCCATGGCCTCTGGAGAGCGCCACACCTAAACTGTGCAGAGAAACAAAGCAGACCTTGAAATTCATGGCATCGACTGGAACAGACTTGTGGGCTAACTTTATTTTCCATTTTCACATTTCCATTTCATATTCTGTAAACAATTTTTCCAACAGTTTATTTTGAAAACCCCACTGATTATAGTTGGTGTTGGTTCTTCTTAGGCTCAATCAGCTGCTTCAAAGTAATTTTTCTGATTGGAAGTGCCAGAAACAATTGGCTGCTCTCATGTGTTTTTAAAGAGGTGTGGCGAACTGCTTAGCTCTCTAGCCAGCCCTCTCTTAGACACCCTCAAAGGGGTCACTTGCCCTGGTCTTCACTACCACCTTAGGCACCCTGCCCTACCCTTGGCCACAGATGGGTCTTTCCAGACCTTAAGAGGCTGGGACTGACCAGGGAAAATTAACCCCTTCTCAAGGACCAAAAGGAAAGCTCCCACCACTCGAATGTGACCACGTTATTGTGCTGTGGGCTTCTTTGCTCAACCCTCTCTCTAATCTAAATAGACTTTTCACACCCTCACTGGCTTGCTTTAAGCTCTTTTCTGTTTCTGCCCAAAGTAAGAGAATATGTTTTGAAAACACAGTCTCTTCACTTGGCAAACCTACTCAGTGGCCATGTGTTCCCTTGATTGCTCTGGTTCCAAATGGAATCCACCCACGAACCCTGGCAGTATATGACAATGATGCCATGATTTATTTTTCAGATTAATCTATAGTTGGCAAATTCTTTTCTCTCCTTAGCTCTGCGAGGCACCAGCTCAGGAACATGAGGCAGCCCCCTGAGATAACTTTTTACAAAAGCTGTTATATACAACACTAAGCTAACAGTCGTGGGAGACTTTAGAATGCCACGCACACATCTCTAAGCAGGCGATGAGGCAAAGCCACTTTTCAGGACTGTTCCAAAGAGAAATAACAGGATTCAAAGGTAGACAAGCACAGAAGGACAGTTCAGAGAAATTAAAATGGAAGCACAACATGGAGGAATGGATATGCTATCCCCAAGTTTGAAGGATTTTTTTTTTGTCATGGAAATAAAAGGTGAAATGGTACTCACTAGGCAGCAAGTTAGATGGTTAAGGACCCTGATAACCCTCTGAACTTGTCTCTCCACCCTTAGTTGGAACCCCAAAGCTTATTTGCTTGATAATGAGATGCAAAGCCATGACAAATTGAGTGAGTTCTCCTAGGTGAGCCTGAACCATCTTCCCCCTCTGGAAAACAAAAACAAAAGCAGCCTGGGAAAAGCCCCTTCCTCACTCTTTCCAGCCTTTTGGCAGGGTGTTTGGTTATCTTCAGATGATGAGCTCTGAGAGTGTCAGCAGGTTTTGTACAAACACAACTGATGGGTCTGATGGAATGTCCATGTATTATGGTCAGCTCTACCTGAAAGGAGTACCCTTGATGTCTGTATAATAGTAGTCATTTGTCATCACCAAAACCCGTTTCTAGATTGAAAAAAAAAAAAGTCGTAGAGAAAAGAAAACATGGTTAGTCTGCTAGGTGAAGTTTTCAGAAATAAATAAAAATAAATGGACACACTATGATTAGGTTAACAGTACTACATGAATCTTGTTTGAGATAAGTAAAGACAAGAGAAAAATGATCTCAGCGAAAGATATTTATTCCAGATAGAGCTTTCAAAGCTAATTTTTCACAGTGGTTTGTTTTAAATTAAGAGGCAAGAATGTTTGAGAAAAATGTACCCCTTTGTCCACTGTCTTCTTCACTTCCATGGAAAACTTCCCAGTCTTTCGATTCACCATGGCGTTTCTTAACTAAAATGATAAAAAAAAAATGGTGTTAGTTCTTCCCTGGGTTACCATGTTATCTGGACACCTTGCATCCTCCGGCTCGGGAGCACATTTGATGGCTTGTGTAGAGAGGTATGGTGGCGCTGGGCTGTTTCGCATTGAATCTTGGGTGCTTTTGCAGTAAGTCTGCATATTACACTCAACTCTAAAACAGGGCTTCTGAAGAATAAACAACCAATGGCTGTTGTACAGGGGAGAGAGGCTAACTACAATAAATAAATGACTTTCAACTTCAATTTGGGGTGCTCGTGTAAACCTCAAGGCAACAATGACAAAAAAGCCTGTGAAATGTTGATGAATCCTGAGAGACACAGAACGAACCCCCAGAAACTCTTGAACACACTCAAGAAGCAAGAATGTCTCTGGGGACGAGTTAACATTTTCAAAAAGGGTATTGGTTTGTCATGGAGAAATCATTTCTCAAAACTTAATCAAGTTAAAGATGTTTTCCTATATAGTAGTTTAAGACAAAACAAAACAAAACAAAAAAGGCCAGCCATTTGGAAGACAGTGATTAGCTTTTCATAGTATGACTCATCTTCAAATGCTCTCCGAGAAATCAGGGCCAATTAATGGCCTCGCACACGCTGACGTGCAGTGAACAGGGCGACCCTCTATCTGATTTTTGGAGGTCCCATTTGGAACAGTGAGCCTGGCTCCCTCCCCCCACCCCTGGCTGACCTCTTCTAATTATGTGTGGCCCTTCCCTGAGTTCAGAGAAGGACAGCAGACACAGTGATGAAAGATGTGCCGTCATGGGCACCAATGGGGGACGACAGGGAAGGCCATTTAATGGAATAGGAGCAAATGCTGACATGCCACAGCCTGTCAGGAAAGGCTCTTTCCCAGCCCCGTGTCTTTTTATTTTTTTTATTTTTTTAAAAATTTTATTCTTTCCCTTCTTTCTTCTTTCAGGAGCTTGACTAAGATCTGGCCGATAGAAAACTGCAACGCTTGCAAGCAACCTAAATTTGATTCGGGGTTGTCTAGATTCAGGCTTGTGTTCCCATCTTCTGCGTGAGAGAGTAAAAGCATAATTTTTAGCTGGAAGCCTGTATAAAATAAAACATATATTTTACTTTAGGTATTTTTTAACAACACATAATGGGCATTTCTGGAAATATTTTCCCATTTTAACTTTTGTGGTTTTGGATGGGGAGAGCTGGTCCTAATTAAGTCTACTTTCTAACTTTTAAGAACGGCTCGATTTATCTTTAACATGGTTTTCATTTTTCCTCTTTCTGGTGCCTGCCTAAAGCCATTTGGGACCTTCCCCTCTCACATACCCCAGGCGAGCCTGGGATTAGGTAAGCTCCCCACGCCTCCGTGCCACCCCACCCCCAACTCCCAGTAGCAAAGAGCAATCAGCATGGGGCGATTCAAGGCCAGCGTCACTGACGCTTTCTAGAGGCAAATGCTTTGATGATTTAGGTAGTCTCCCTTTCCTTCAATAGTAATGAAAATAGGTCACACCTATTGAACACCTACTTGTGAGGCAGGATAGCACTGCAGTTAAGAAATGAACTCGGTAGCCAAAGCTCTATGATATTGGACAAATCGCCTACCCTTTCTGTGCCTTGGTTTCTTTACAGCAAAATGGAACTAATGACAGCACCCATCTCACAGAATTGCAGTGAGGACTAGGGGAGTTGATATTTACAAGAGTGTCTGGTACCCCCTAAGCATTCAATACATGTTAGCTGCCCTCCACCACCACCACCACCACCACCACCACCATGAACATCATCCTCACTTTTCTTTACTCTCAGCAGATTAATGAATCAGGATTCAAACTTGAGTTTGTTTGACACAGATGCCCATGCTCTAAAGCAGTTTTTCAAACTTTTTTGACTGTGAGCCATGTAAGCAACATGTCTTCTCTGAGGATGCCCCCTGACATCTCCTATTTTAATAAATTTCATTGCTTTTAATTGCAGCTCATGAATGACTAAATGAATTTTGTGACTCTCCCCCAACGCCCCAGGTTAAGAACTGCTGCTCTTAACCACCTTTGGGTCAGCACAGACTGAGAAAGAGGCAGCAAACGGTACAGAGAAGTAATCCAGGATATCAAGGCTGAAGTTTCAAGTTTTACCAATGACACACTCCACTGTCCTGTGACCTCTCTGTGGCTCAATTGCTTCATCTTTCACTCATTCTGTCAAAACTTTTCATGAGTGAGGACTTCCAGTCCCCTGTTAGGTACAGTATAAACTGTGTTTCTTATGAGGCTTGGGAAATATTGATAGATACTGAGCTCTTACTGTGGGCCAGGCACAGGTTTGAAAACCCTCAACATCATCCCCTAAGGTACCATGATTATCCCTGTTTTACAGGTGGGGAAACTGAGGCACAAAGTGAAGACACCTGCCCAAGGACATACAGGCTCTCTGCCATCAGCCCATGCTGTTCCTTCTGCTTCTAAATCAGGAGAGAATGCATTTGGAAAAATTTAAAGCATTAATATAAAAACTGTGTAGTAGGAATATAAAAATAATGTATTGTTCTATTTCTGGATTTCTTTTTTTAATCAAAGAAACAGTTTTGAGCATTGACCATGCAGTAATCTGAGGCTGTCATGTCACAGCAGGCTCTCTCACAGGCTCTAGGTCCTGTGGTCTGGGATTGATGGGAAGGTGGTTTTCTGTCCTCACTGCCAGACTCTGGATGGGAGGTGGCTTGGTGCTTTTTCAATAGACTATTAAGCGAGAATACAGCACTGTGAGGCTGGGGGCGTCTAAAAATGTTACTTTTCTATCTGAGGAGAGCGAAGCTTGAGAAGGGGGACAACATACCTCAAATTATGGTAAGTCAGTGGTGCCTCCAGCCCCAGGGTCTAGGTTCCAGGCACCTGGAGCAGAAGCGAGAGCCGTGGAGAGTACAGTGCTCTCCGTCCTGGTTGGGGCAGGAAAGTGTGGCTGATGGTGCTGCTCAGAGCTGCCCGAATATCCCTAGAACTTACCACTGCCTGGGTTACAGCAACTGGAGAAATGAAAATGTCCCGGCAGAGGAACATCTCCAAACAGTTTGGGTGTGCTCATGAGTTAGAATGTTATATAGTTGTCAAAAAGTCATGAGTGCAGATGTTCCACTTAACACATAGTCAAAGCAAAACAAATTAAAATATCGATGATATACCTTATTTCCCCTATCAGATATCAAACATCTGTAAGTGTGTTAATGCAGTGGACATTACAGCAGCTTTCACCACAATGTGGTCGATAAAATTAAGGTGAAATCTCTTCAGGCCGAGCACAGCAATCTGGTGACAGTTATCAGGCTCCCCAGTCTCCCTTCTCCTGGCGTGATCCAGGTCAGACTTGCTTCCCCAGACCCTGCAGCGAGTCTGTCTCTCTCACCTGCACCGTAAAGCTGAGTCAGCTTCACTGACCATTCAAAGCACCCAGTTTACTAATGACCATTACAGCTGGTGGCAATGCTTCCGGCTCCTCTGGGAACCCTGCAGCTCTTCTCTCATGTTAGATAGAGTTCCTCAAGGACGCTTTCCCCAGGGCTTTCCCCATCACTGAAGGGTGTGTGTGTATACTTATGTAACGGTAACTTGTTCTCCTTACGGTGGTTCAGCATCTACATCAGAACATGGGCCTCACCTTCCCTGGTGCACAGGTGGCATGCCATTCCAAGCCCCCAGTGACATGCAACCCTGGACAAGCCACCAGATGAAAGGGAGAAGCAGTGGATAAACAGGTCTGCTAGTCCCAAACCAGCTTCCCACCAGACTATGAAAACAGACTCGGCACAGAGCACCTGTACAACAAAATCCTCTCTCTCTCTCTCCTTCAGCTTAGGGTCTCAGGTGGCAGGTGGGCTGTGCCTGGTTTGGGGACTCAGGGATCAAACATAAACTGCAGAGATACTGGAATGGGTGTAAAGAAGCACACACGAAATGGCCAAAGGTCTCAGAAATATGCGTGAGGAGAAGAGGTTTAAAGGGCTTTGGGAAGAAATGACTCAGAGAGATCTTTCCATTAGGGTCGACCCCCAGGTAAGACCAGAGGGCAGTAGGAGAAAAGGCTGACACCACAACACAAGGGTTTCAGTTGGGCTGGAGGCAGGATCTGATGGGCTGTGTTCACAACACCATGTTGCAAGCATCGTTTAGCAGCTGCATGCCAGGCACAACCTACACCCCTCAGGGGAGGATAACATACATGATGAGGCACTGATATAGAGTCTCATGGACTTTTGGGCTCAGGGGTTCTCAGGTATACTAACATGGTCAAGGGCTTTGGGGCCAGACTGCCTAGGTTAGAATCTACACTCAGTGCTCTTGGACCATGCCAAGCAATCCTCTGCCTCAGTTGCTCAGCGTGTAAAATGAAAACTGCAACAACACCAGCTTCACAGAATTGTTGTGAGGAATAAACAAGTTCGACCATATAGATAGTACCGGCAAGTAGGAAGAATTCAATGTGTGATAATTATTTATATTAGCTTTTTTCTGTCTATAGAAATAATCATATTCATGGTGGTGTTTGAGAATGACTAAAAGATAATAGGAATAAGGTAAAAATCATCCTTAATTCCTTCAGCCATCTCTGGGAATTTATAACCAAAGGATAAACACCATTTTAAATATATATTTTTTCCTTCTAAGAGGTGATCAACACCAGTGATTCAGACTGGGATATGCATGTTTCAGGGTCTTTTCCTGGCTCATGGGTCCCCAAAAGATCTGGCCTATTCATTATATTGTTGACATGATACCCAACTCATCCTAGAGCCAGGAAGTCCCACCCCTTCTCTTCTAAATGATTTCTACTTTTTTTTCTTTTTCTTATTTTAATTGTAACCAGTCTATTTTGCATGTGTGTTAAGAGTATGTGACCTCACTTCTTTTTTGGACATGAGCTGAGTCTATGTTATAAATATGGTCATTCTTCAACAAAAGTCTATTGGGTCGTTGGGAAAGTCATGATGCATTTTTGCATTGAAAAACATGGAAAAATATGTCACGACTTACCCAATGACCCAATAGTTGCCAAGGGAGATGGGGTGCTCCTTCTAAGTACTCTGCAGCTGGGCAGACTCATGCTGCTTCTTCCTCAATGGCTTCTGCTTGCCTGAACTTCCCCAGATCTTGATCTAGAGCCTACGCCCTCTACTACTAACATGCAAACCCCAGTGGCGGACATATGGGATCTTGCATAGACTTCACAAAGATGCTCTGCCTAGACTCTAGATTTCTCCAATCAATGGAGTGACAATTCCTAGGAGAGAAGTGGTGACTTGGGTTTTCCCAATCAAACATGCTGATAATGAAGGAATTCACATTTCAAGAGGATCATGCTTGCAAGGTGACTAGAGACTCAAACCAAACAGACCACCCCAGACTGATTCATGCAGAACAAGAGCATTGGACTTGCTGGAGATGTGGGAACCCTGCAGGGAGATGCCAGAGCCTAGTCCTGAGAGTCAGATGAAGGTGAGGAACGCGTGCACAAGGCAGGGAATTTGATGCTGTACAGCTCCGATGAAAAAGGGAGAAAAGGCAAGGAACTAAAAAGCATTTTCTAAACCATTATTAGTAAAAGGAGATATTACATCATTGAAAATAAACTGGGGCACAGGTGATGACTAGAGTGAGCCATGCAGTAAATCTCTTCAAGTAACGGGCAAAGCAGGAGTGAGTGTCAGCTGAGTGTTAACCAGCAGAGGGAGGGCTTCCTGGATGCAGGGACTCTGAAGTAAGAATGAGCATAATCAAGTTTGCCTTCCATGTTAACTAAAGTGGAGGAGATGAGGGATGGGGAAGTATGTGGACAAGGTGCAAGCCTTCTGCAAAAGAAAACTAAAAGGCCCAGTGATGTCAAAATAAAGCAACAGATGAAGATGGGAGAAAGAAAAAGCATGGAAGATACATGACAATGAGCAACACTGATTACTGAGAAGGTCACCTGAGGACTGGTAATGCTGAGAATGATGCTAAAAATGGCTGCCACTCACAGAATGCTCGCCATGCCCACACAACAATGTAAACACTTTTGTATCTTTCAATATATAAACACATCTAATATTCAAAACAGTCCTATGAGGTGGGTGCTATTTATCATCATACTCATTGCGAAAAAAAACAAAAAAACCAACAAAAACCAAGAAACAAAACTGAAGCACAGACAGGTTAATTGCTTGCCCAAGACCAACAGCCAGCAAACAGCAGACTTGAACCCAGGCAGGCGAATCACTGAGCTGTGCTCCTCACACTGGGCTCGTCTGCTGCTTGCCATGAGCAGGTTGAAAAGGTAGAATGTATACATTACATGTAGCATGATCAAAAGAGTCTGGCATGAATCCCGACAATATTTAAAGAATAAGAAAATATAGAACTCTATCCGGCCATTAAGCTGACACGCTGGCATGTGGGCAGAAGAGTGCAGACGAGGAAGTGGCTTTATCAAACAGAGAAGTTATTTTGTCTGAATTGGGGTTTAGAAAGACTTAGTACAGAGGAAGAAGGAAGTAGGTTAATTTCTGAAACAGAGAGGACTTTTGCATCTCATAGGTGAGGAGGAAAATCAGAGATTTACTCGAGCCGGGATGTCCTGGGAGCAGAGGATGTGAGGACGAGAAAAGCTACATAAAGCGAGAGAAGTGTAACACTGGCCGTGTTTCTGGAAGGTGTGAGAACCCAGCCCAGGGACTTCAAATGGTTCCCGTCAACATCCCTGTGGAAAGTAGGACAGGCTGAGGAATGGAAACAATGCTGACTCGACCATGAAACTTAAGAAAGGACCCCAGACAAATCAGGGAGGATGCAGGTAGAGGACAGGGCCTTGGCAATGCAGAGAAAGTGAAAAGCAAGGACCCAGACACAAATGCCTGGGTATTAGAATTTATTTAAGGACCGTCCGCCTGGATTCATACAAAGGGAGTGAAGGGACCCAAATTTGGCCACCCGAGCTGCCTTTTGGGATATTGATTTTAAGCTGTTTATTGAGAAACAAGCCTCAGAAAGAAGCTTTGACCCTCTCTCCTTCCTGCCCAAGAGGTTCAGACAGAGAAACCTGCTTCAGGGAATGGAGCCTGGGCTCAAGGGGACCCGGGCTTAACCACCTTAAGAACTGACACCCTAGCAATAGTCAGGAAGACGCCAAGCCCATTAGCTAGATACCCCGTGTCCCATTGTTTCTGAGGTGCCCAGCAAGAATGTTCCAGCCATGTGAGGTCTGCTCTTCTTCAACTACCTGTAAACCGCCCATGCTCATTTCTGAAAGCTCAGACCCCCATCCGCCCTCTTCTCCTTTGTCCAAAATGTCTTAGATGCCCAGTGGTGCCCCACTGTCTTAGAAATTGTCAGGCTTATGTGAATTCTCCATGAGCACGTTTCAAAGCTTTGATTTTTTTCCTGTTCACCTGTCTTTATGAATTTGATTATTAGCCCAGATAGAAGCACTTAGAAGATGAGAGGAAACGTTTTAATTTTTTTTTTCTGTTTTGTTTTTTGCCCCCAAAGCAGCCATGTCAAACAAGTCTGATTTAATGAGGAAGTATCAACATGACCGACGGGGGTACGTTGTGGGCATAGGAAAGATTTTGAAACAGTCAAGAGGCTGAATCTGTGAGGAATGAGCATGCGCGCTGCTGCAGTGTGGCTGGTGAAGGGGGAAAGGCTGTTACTTCCCAGGAGACGGGGTGGCCAAACAGGCAGCCCTGGTTGTCCTTCAAAAACATGAGTTGGGCCCATGAAATCCTGACAGGTGGCTTCTGGCCCTGACGTTGCACAGGGCAGAGCCACAGCCAGGCCCCCCTGACAGTGGCAGGTCCCATGCATTGCACTGAAGAAGAATCTGCACGGATGAGCTGCAGAAGGGACCAGAGCCCACCATGGATGGTTTCTGCAGACTGCACAAAGCAGGCGGCAGGGTGGCTGGCCTGCCTGCAACTGGCCTGACCAGCAGGAAAGGATAAAACTGCAAACTTGGTAAAAGGGCCCATTGTCTCCAAGTCCCTCTGGTGGCCAGGTGTCGCTCTGGTGGGCCTCTCAGTCGTCTCCTGGGGCAGCCTCCAGGTACAGAAGTGGGTACAATGGAGCCCCCTACTCACCAGGCCAGAAAGCAAACCACTTACCACATCATCTCGGTCTTCCCATTCCACCTCGGAGAGGTCAACACTGCTATAGTTAGGTTTCCTTCGCTTTTTTCCTTCTTCATACTAGTAAGGGAAAGAGACAGAAAACAAAGAGAACATTTCAATGAGATCACCAGCCAGGGCAACCTTAAAACTCCCAAATCCCAGTTTGAGGATGGGGACTATGAATAGAGGGGTATCAGTGAGACACCCAGCTGGGTGACAGTCCTAGGTGTTTTCATGGCAGGGACGCTGAGGCCAGATGCCTGTAAACATCTGCTCAGAGCTGGAAGGATATACAAGTCAACTCTTGGCTTGATGTGAATTCACCTAGTGGACTCTTTGGCTCTAAGCACGCCAGATGCAAAGCAGAGATTTCCCCCTCCGTGGATGGTATGTGTGTGGGTTGGGGGAGAGCTTTTCCCTCTACTCCAAAGCTTTAAAAGCCACCCCTTCATAACACAGGAAAGAGCGTCTTACATATGTTTACCAAATAACCTAGTGGTATCGCTCTATGTTTTATAGTTCTCCCGCCCCTACCTCCTGGCTCAAATACACTCCATGCTCCTTGGCTAGGCAACAAAAAGCACTGATCTCCACAATTGGGCTCAACATCCTGGTTAACAATTGGCAGACACACAAACCCTCCTACCTGCTGTCACACTGGCCACCACAGTCCAGAACTAAGCACAGCTGCTTCACTCAGGGTAGGTGTGGGTACCGGGAATCGCTGCCACACTTAATGGCCATGAGACCACTTCTCTGGGAAGGCTGAGGAGTGCATGAATACATGGGGATGTCGTTTTGGTTTTTCTTCCCCCTAAATCACTGGTGTTAGTTACCCTGCAAGGCTACCATTTTATCAACTGGACATTCATGTGTCTGGATGCTCCTGTGTCTTGGAGCCTTTCATGTTGGCCGTCGGAGTGTTTATAATGTAGGAAAGTCTGCCCTCTACTGCAGGCTAAGGAGAAGCAGCCCCTTTACAAGTTCCTAAGACACAGCTAAAGGCATACTGGAATATATATATATATATATATATATATATATATATATATATATATATNTGTGTTAAAGTTCAGGAAAGAGGAACTGTCTTGATTGTAGAAGGTTGCTATTCAGGATACTGAAATTCTCTTTACTGTAAAGGCATACATATATATATATATATATATATATATATATATATATATATATATATGGTTTATTTGCTTTTGTTTCTGAGTTGGCCATCTTTTGATTTAATTAATAAGGTTCTAAGTGAGATGCAGTGTCCCTTTAAGATCTCAAAACCACAGGTTATCATTTTGGACACTACTTGGCTACTATGGAGACAGGTGCTGAAGGCACACCAGGCATGAAGGGGAACATCATTGCCAACAGGTTGAACCAAACAGGTCTAAACCAGCCCCCAGTGAAATTGAGGGAGAGAGAGGCCAGACAGTGAGTCACAGCGGGGCCAAGCAGGGCCAGGTGGTTTTCCCCGCATTCTTTTCTTCTGCGCTTCAACTGCATTTCAGGAACCCTGAGGCATCTCTGGAGACTGCCCACCCCCAACACCCAGGAAGGATGCCTCGCCTCTCAGGAGCAGTGGGCCTTGACCACCCCTGGTCAACCGCCTTTCCACTCCATTCTCTCAGGTTTCCAATTAACAGACGTTCACGGTCAGTTTTATGACATCAGATCCACTCCAGATGAAGAGGAAGGGAAGTGGTTCCCTCAGAAGCTGCTGTAAATGATAGCAGATTCTCAGTTGGACCCTGTTATGGAAAGTTCGTGTATGCATGCAAGCTCTGGTCCTCATGAAAGCCAGGCTGGGCTGAGAGGGAGGAGCAGGAACGGGGTGGGCGGGGTTCCTCACAGTGAGGCGGTGTGATGGGGGGACACCTGATGCTCAGACTCGTCCCTGTGAGGTGCTAGAGTCAGATATCCCTGGGCCACTGTTACCTGTGCTAATGGCTCTCAAGTCTCATTTTAGTAAGAACTATACTGAGAGCCGCCAGGCACCCCAGAAATTCCTGCAGGCCATCTTCGGACTGAACTGTCACAATTTCTCAGGTAGCCTACTGCTAAGTCTAAACTGCCTTTTTGGTGGAAGCTCTTTCTTTGGTGGTTTCAAAATGTTCCTTCATTCATTTCTTCAATCTACATTTATCGGACACCTAGTAAGTTCATGGTACTAAGGATAAACAGGCAATTAAACAGCGCTTCATTGTTTCCCAAGGACACGTGTTCAGTTTATCTCCCTTACTTCTGCCTCCATAAGGTCAATTTATTTCCCATTATGTATAGGGGAAGATGGGCCCCAAGAAGGTAAACAACAAATGAAATAACAAGTTAGATAAGATCAAAGAGCCAGCATGGGGGAGGACACCCCTGCCTACCACAGCCCTGACCATGGCTAAGCATCATGTTATTTCAACCACTGTTAAAGAAATTAAAAAAAAAAAAAGAAGAAGAAGAAGAAGAAGAAAACCCAAGTTCCAGAATACGAAATGTTCCTTCATCCTTAGAGAAAGTGTCCACCTGTCTTTGTTAGGAGAGGAGAGCATAGTGATCCTGCCACTTCCCGGGCATGCGACTGAACGAGGCACCAAGCTGCCCTAAGCTTCCTTTATCTCCGTTGCAAAATGAGGAAAACAAGAGCACCTCCATAACCATGGTAGGTTGAGAGGATTAAATAGACACTAACTGTAAAGTGACAAGCACATTCCCAGGCACAGAATAAACCCTTACTATGTAGCTAACAAGATTCCTGAGAGCCATGACCTTCTTGGGGATGACACAGGCTCATTGTATACAACTAGCTAACGTCTCATTTCCATGAAACGAAGGGGACCCATTCAGTAAGTTTGCAGGTTACCTCCTCACCCGGTAGGCAGGCAGAAGATGTTTGTTGATGAGGATGGTGTCAGATAATCACAAATGTATGTCTTGGTGTACTCAACACCAAGGCTGTCTTGGCAGAAAAATTTATACATGTGCTAAATAGCCCAAGTCCTTTTCGATGGCATCTGGCAAAAGTGGAATTGCAGTGAACCCTTGACTTCTGAACCATTCCTGAAGGCCTGTCTTCCTTTTTTTTGTAACCACTCAAGAAATACAGTATATTATACTACTGGTATTCAAGAAAGTTGGAGAGATTAGAGAGTGAGAGAAAGTAAGATTTCCCAGCATATTGATTAATAAGCCACCATATTCCAGCAAGTCTCTGTAATTTAGTTTCATTGAAAGAAACAGACAGGGCTGGGGATATTCCTTCTGGAACTGCATTTTAGACATGCCCATCCATAACGTCTGCTTAACCAGGTACGTGGAGCCGGGCTGAAACACTTTCATTTGGCTCTTTATTAATGGGTCAGCTCCTTTAGCATATGAAGAGTCATGTAACAGAGTGATTACTTTGGGTGAGAACAGGAAAAGTCATTGGGCTGTTGCATGTATAATACAGGTTGAGGGTGTTGAATAAACTCTAGCTTGACGACCCAAAATCCACCTTCATCTTTTCCCTCAGTAAGAAACTTATGAAATGGCCAGAGATCCGACCTTCTTTAGAAAGACACCTGTGCTGTGGATTGCCACCACCCAATTCCCCACATTTTCCTTGGTAATCATTTTGGTGTTCTTACAGGGAACCCTGTGGAGCCCGCTCTCCATAAATATAGTTAGTGAAGGTTCAGAGGTGGGCACGTGACCTGAGCATGTGAAGACCCAGCTATCGCCAGGATACAGTGATTAATTCAGCCCCGGGGGACATAACTCGGGCAAACTCACATGAGACTCCACCTGGGATGTCTTCCTGAATTTATCTAGAAAAGAAGGCTCTTCATCCATTAGCATCACTAAGATGGAAGGATGTGAACTTGAACTCTTCATGGCTACCTCTGCTGCTACTTGGAGAGGGTCTTCATGAGAATTGAGCCAGTGCAAAGAAGGCAGAGAGCAGCTATGAAGGGAGCCCTGAAAGCATGGTGTGCATACCTGAATCGAGCTGTGCCTGAAGCCTCTGTGCTTCTGGACGGTGCATGTCCCAGTGCATTCTCTCCACATGAGCCCCCTTCCCTTTGGAAAGATTCTTTTGAAAGCTGGCTTGGACCTCAAGCATAAGTAGTCAACAGAGTTCCAACTTGTATATATTTAATGGCTTTATTATTATTTTTTTCAATAGACTACTTTAAAGGTACATTTTAAGTGAAATGCTCACAAACTTTGGTACTTTTATGATTATTTAGGAACATATGAATTGTGAAATTACCTCACTGCTAATTAAGATAAATTACTGCGTGTAAGCACGGCTCATCCCCTGGACCTGTTTTGCCCTCGAGAGGACACATGTATGGCCAGAGGGAGAGTGACAGAAAAAGCACTAAACTCTCAAGTCCCCGAACCCCAGGCCAGCTGTCCCCGTCCCACGGGATTTGGCCTGGGACAGACCCCAGGGCCACTAGCCTACACGCCCTCTTCCCCGGGTGACGCTCTTTTTACTGGGGCTGGAGCGTCGTATATGGCATTTGTTAGTGTATCTGTAATCTGTAACTTCCTTTGAAAATGTGATTAACGAATTGCAAACGGTTTCCATAGGTTTATAAACAGATACTTTGAGAGCCACAGGTAGGTCTGTAGTTTTTGGTGCCTGTTTTATGAAAAAAACATGTGAGGGAGAATTTAATAAGGAAAGATATTCTGTGCTATGAAATACTTGGAGGTGGAGTTTTAAATAAGGGCCAGATGTGGCGAACACACAAACCGGCCTGTGGCCTAGAAGGATAGGACAAGAGGGTGCCCATCTGAGGAGTAAGCTGCAGCCACCAGGGTGCACGCCTAAGTGCCAGAACCTTCCCTGCACTGTCTAACTGTCTGGATGTGAGGACCCTTTTGTGTCCCCTGCAGACTGACTTCGGAAGTGTAATGGGATGCGCTAAGGTGATGGCCATGTTGGCGTTGGTTTAAAAAAACCCCAAATGGCTTTGCTTTTTCTGTGTTCTTTTGGTAAGGTGCCAGAGGAAATCAGCTACACACATCCATGGAGCCTCTGTGAAGCAAATATTGTGTGTGTTAATAATTGATAAACTGTACGTGCCGCT